CTGGAATACCTGAGACCTTACACGTGCGTTATTGGCCTTCTGGGGTTGAGGAATTTGATGATTAAGTAAAATCACGGGTTACTCACGTGAATATACTGAGAAAAGCTCTACTAGTTTCGAACCACAGAGAGGTTCTTCCTCATGAGTAGCGTGCGCGGTCGCGGCGACGTCGCGCAGCTCACTGAGGATGAGGATTTTACTTGATTTAGTATATCTCACGATAGTTATTATAATTTGATGATTGTTGAGGATTCAGGGATTGTGGAGATTGGGCAGAGGAGGAGAGGGGTGTGGTTATTAGTGACCTTCGTTAGCCCCATTCACACGATGAAACACTATGCTGTAGTTGTTTCACTATGGTCTTCTGTTCGTCGATGGTATCACTCCGGTCGAGCTGGCCCTGCAGTGCCGAAGCATGGCTCTCCCACACTTAAAGAACTCATCTCATGCTCTAAGCATGGAGTCTGCATATGACAATAGATATATTCACTCTTAGTTACATGGGATTCACAACATAACTGGTGAAGAAAGATGGGTGCTACTTACACCTTTTACCTTCTTTAACTTGTACGCCTCTGTCTAACTCCTTTGAGGAATAGAAACCTACTAATAATAATGTTACTGATCATAATTTTATATCTCTCTTGCAGTGGGACATCCGTAGCGGAGAGATAGTTCAAGAATACGACCGGCACCTCGGCGCCGTCAACACGATCACGTTCGTGGACGACAACAGACGGTTCGTCACCACGTCCGACGACAAGAGTCTGCGGGTCTGGGAGTGGTGAGTTACAGCTTCCATCTACTATGTTATTATTTTTTGGCATATGCAAACGAGCAGACGGATCACCTGATGGTAAGCAATCGGCGTCGCCCATGGATACCTGGAACACCAGAGGCATTACAAGTGCGTTACCGGCCTTTTGGGGATTAGGAGTTTGAGGATCGTTGGGGATTCAGGAATTGGGGAGATTGGGGAAGGGAAGGGTAATTGGGCCTCCGGTAACCTCACTCACACGACGAAACACAACGCAAGCGTTGCTTCACGTCGGTTTTCTGCTCGGCCGTGGTATCACTCCGGTCGAGCCGGCCCATTCGTGCCGAAGCATGGCTCTCCCACACTTATATCTAGAATCTTATCTTATACTATTATATAAAGCGGAAGAGTTTGTTTTTTTGTTTGTTTGTTTGAACGCGCTAATCTCCGTAACTACAAGTCTAATTTGAATAATTCTTTTGTGTCGGATAGCGCATTTATCGAGGATGGCTATAGGCTATAAAACATCACGCTACGAACAATAGGAGCTGAGCAGAGCGTGTGAAACGTGTGCGAAGTAGCTAGTCTATACATATAATAAAATAGTATAAAAGTGAAAACTGTACATTGAATATTTTTTAAAAGAATACTTGGGGCGTGATCTACAATCGATACTGAAGACAAAAATATGTTTTTTTAAATGTTTGTCTGTTTGTCTGTATGTATGTCCGGGTTGATCTCAAAAAGTACTGCTTGGATTTACTTCAAATTTTGTATGATTATTACTAACAGGTCGGGTCAACATATAGGCTACATATCACGCTATCACCTACGGGGTAAGCGCAGTAAATCACTATTCCACGCGAACAAAGTCGCGGGCACAGCTATTATTAACTATTATGTTAACTATATCTCATACGCTCGAATACTGAAAGGCTACTGAATTTTAAATATATAGTTCTGTCACTACAAATTCATTGTAAAATGACAGAGATAGCACGATATTTAAGTACAACTTAAATTGGAGTTGTCTTTTAATGTTCGGGTGATAGTCGAACATTTTCCAAAAAGAAAGTAAAATCGCAATCATCCAGACTATATTGTCTTAAACTGTCAAACACCAAGCGGTCACCGTTGACCGCAACCTATTGTTCTATAATTGTGTCTACAAAACCGGTACTCGACGAGTTAAAAAGATATGAAAATGAACAAGATCACTTGGTACTTGATGGTAAGCATTCAATGCCGCTTCTAGACACTCGCAACACCAAAGAAGCTGCAAGTATATTGTCGGCCTTTAGGGGTGATCGATTTCATAATCCTTACTAATATTATAAATCGGAAAGTGAGTTTGTTTGTTTGTTTTTTTGTTCCGCTTTCACGCCGTAACTACTAAACCAATTGTTTTGAATTTTTGCAGACGTAAAGTTAGAAGTCTGGAATAAATAATAGGGTACTTTTTATCCCGGAAAAAAATAATATTCTCGAGGGAAAACGAAATTATTGGTATAGATGGCGCTGTGTGTATTGGTATATGTCACATAGGCTACTTTTTATCCTTTTGTGACGCGAGCGAAGCCGCGGGTAAAAGCTAGTATTTGAAAATATGTCAATATAGCTTAATCAGATATTGTGACTTCCAAAACATCGCCTAATTAAATATCAGTTCACTGATCCATACTCAGTATAAACTTTTAAGTAAGTAGTAATCTTTATATATATAATTCTTCTGTGAGTGTGTATGTCACTGAACTTCTCTCAAACGATTGGACCGATTTTGATGAAATTTTTTGTGTGTGTTCAAGGGGATCTGGGAATGGTTTAGATTCACAAATCAGCCCGGCAGATGGCGCTGCAGTCGATGTTTAGGTTGTTTATCCTAAAAAGCTGAACTAATTTGAATGAATTTTTGTTTATACATTCAAGTGGATATGCAGGACAACGTCTGTTGGGTCCGCTAGTATATAAATAAAAATGAATTTCCGTTCGATAGTCTCGCTAAAACTCGAAAACGAGTGAACCGATTTGGCTGATTTGACTGGTCTTGAAATGTTCGTCGCAGTCCAGGGAAGGTTTAAATTTTTTTAGACGCTACCGTTTTTGCCGCGTCATCTTGTTCATATAAAAGTCAAAAACCGTGTACTAGAACCTGCGATACTTAACCGAATACGTTTATTCTATGATTCTATCATTAAAATTATTTTTCGATTTTTTTTCTTTAGTATAAGCATTTTAACCCGTCGTGTCTCTAAACGTGGATCCACGCGAGACATAATTGTTTTTCTATTGTGTCGGACATCTTTTTTTTTTCTTATCTTTTTTTTTTTAAACTTTGCCACTAGGATTTTCTCCCGTGTCGTGGGTGCGTTTATAAACATGCACATTACACCCAGACCCGGAACAACAATCTGTGGATCACACAAACAGTTGTTCCGTGCGGGAATCGAACTCGCGACAACTGTGCATTCAAGCGGTTAAAGTTGAGAATATAATACATCTACTTATTTATTACTAGCAGCCCGTCCCGGCTTCGCACGGGGTAGACAATTATTTATTTTTGGAAATTTGGATTGTTGTAGTGACATAACTACAATAGTTGGACATACGCTACCGCGGAGTTTTTTGTAGACATTATGATGTTCTTCAATATTGTTGTACATTATTTTGTTCTATCGCTAATATGTTTATGTAGTTTCAGCAGCGCATTCGACGAAAGACATTTTAAGACTCATTTTTCTACACCTTCGGTTACATTGTTAAAATTTTACGAAGGATCCCTATTTTTTTTCAAAATGAAATGTAGCCTATGTCAAATTGGAAGAATGTAGCATTCTATTGGTGAAATTTTTTTTTAAATCGGCCCATTACTTTTTGGGCCTATTCATTACAAGCATACAAACACAAAAATAGGTACAAATCTTTCCTCTTTATAATAATAAAATTATATTTATTATAAAGTACAATTTATTTTTCGACTTTTCCTATTACATAGTAACATTTCAAAGTTAAGATACCATTTTACGTCCCGTCATGATTACTATCTAAACGAAAAACACGTGATTTTAATCTGATGTTCAACTCAACAATGTTTATAAATAGTATTTTGTACTGTCACAGTGATAGTAGCGAAACTTTCGCTTAGTCACGCTGTGTGCTGTTTATTTGTTATTGTATGTAAATTCGCTTATATCTACCTATAGTGTAAATCAGAGTGGTTGGTGTATTGGCGCCGGCCAATCAGAGGCCTTAGTATGAGTTTATTTTACGTTTAAAGTAACCGTAACGAGTACGCGTTCGGCGCTGTGATTGGTTGGTTTATTGGCGCCGGCCAATCAGAGCGCCGAACGCGTACTCGTTTCGAATACTTTAAACGTATAACAAACTCGTACTAAGGCCTTAGGGCTGTCCAATCTATATACCCTCGCGGGCTTATTAAAATTTCTTACAAAAGCAGGATAGTCAGACAAATATTTTCAGTTGTATAATGACGTTTGACATTGTATTCTTTACTCACAGACAAAGCTTGTATACAAATCATACACTGAATTTTATTATTGTTGTTGTTGCACGGAAAATGAAGATGTTGAGATTAAAATGTATGTCGCGGGACACGTGAAAACAAGCCACGGGCTGCAGGCCTCTGTTTGGACAGCCCTGGTATAAATGTAGACAGATTCTAAAATTACTAGTTAGGTACTGATTTTGTAATAGTGCTGCGTTCACAAGTATGTTTGTAAACGCACTCACGGTACGGGAGTCGCCGCTTAGTACGAACCAAGGTTTCGAAAGAAAAAGATTCCTTTAAAATGCTATTGTTGCAGTTATAATAAAGTTATAGTTTTAAGTATGTAACTAATGCGGGCTTGCGGACGGCGAGCATGGGTGGCTCGCCGCCCGATCAAAACCAGACCCGAGAGTACGACGCTGAGCGTTCCGCGCGCGCCTCAAAGAGCCATCAGACCACCACGGATGGGGCCTAATAGGGCTGATGCCGATTCGGAGTCGCGGAGAACCTAACGGGTTACCGGGGCTCCGGCTCGAAGTACAGGAGTAGGAACGGGGTGGTTTTTAGTCAGTAAGAGTCTTGACACTATGGCGGGAGGAGTCATTCGATGATTTCCCCCCTTAAAAAAAGGATGTAGCTAATAGAATCAGTAGGTTGCTAACATAGGTAGTTTACTTTTAAACAAAAAATGAGAACAAATAAAAAAGTAGGTAATTCTACTATAACTGTTTCAAACTAGAGGTTGTTGGGGGTAGAAGAAACAATTCCAACGTGATGTAACTTATAACCAAATCACTATTATTTTAGTTTGTAACGTACCTACATAATTATTTAGTATTGAAATTATTTATAGATACTTATTAGTGCATTTATCTAACTAAAAGTGTAGTTACTTAAATAATATTTAGTGTATTGTGATACAGTGTGCTATATTTCAGTTCTAGTGTATTTTCTTAGTCGTCATTTTCAATTTATTAGTAGTCTGAACAACAAATTAGACTAAAAATGTCTGATTCAAGTGCCTTCACATCGCTTTATGATTTAGTCAATGATCATCTATCTAAATGCAGTTTAAAAATGACTAGCGAAGATCATTCGTCATCAATGTTTAAACTACCTCAGTTTTTAAATGATACAAGAAAGGAGGTTGAGCAAAAAGAGGTTGAAAAATGTAAGGAAATGGAAGAGGATGACTATGTGATAGATTTGATGAAGGCAGTGGAAGTACCAAAGAGCACAATCATTAGAGATTTCAACAACAATGAAGTTTTCATAGAAACAGACCTCAATAACAATTATATATCAAATCCCATTGATATTGAGCCGCAAAAAGAACAATTATTACCAATAAAAACAGATATTTCTTATATTTTAAAACAAAAAGTTAAAAAAGGAAAGTGTTCGCCATTTGGTAAAGTGTTGATTTCGCGCCAAAAGCCAGTGGCGGCGCCATATTTAAAAGAAAAAGTTGAAACAAACATTGTGTCGTTTGATTTTAGTACAAAGTCTCCTTGTGATTTGATTTTGGAACACTCGCAATGGAAACCAGGACATACTGTCTAGTCTAAAAGTACAATTTTAATTTTGTCCCAGTATTTGAGGATGCTTATTGAGACTTATGAACTCATGCTTGGTAGGTGGTGTTTTAGGATAGGCACATAACTTAGTTAATAATTAGGTGGATATTTTTATTTAACTGTAATGAAGTCTATAGAACAGACTTTAGTTACAAGCAACAGTAGTTTAATTCAAAAATAAACGTAGGTAATCTAAAAGCCATCGAAATAGGGATGTCCAGTCTATAGGCGATACTTCGACACCACAATCCGCGCGGTTTCACCCGATCTGCTCTGCTCCTACTGGTCGAAGCGTGATATTTTATAGACTATAGCCTTCTCCGATAAATGCACTATCAAACACAAAATAATTATTCAAATCGGTCCAGTAGTTTCGGAGAATGGCGCGTTCAAACAAACCAATTGTTCAGCTTTATAATAAATATAATATATTATTATAAGATTATGTTGCCCTTATTAATTTATTTTAATTTTCCCCAGGGACATACCAGTAGACATGAAATACATAGCAGATCCGTCAATGCATTCATTGCCGGCTGTGACCGTGTCTCCAAACGGCAAGTGGCTAGCCTGCCAGTCAATGGATAACAAAGTGATCGTCTTCAGCGCACTCAACAGATTTAAGATGAACAGGAAAAAGACGTTTAGTGGCCATATGGTGGCCGGGTATGCGTGTTCTGTGGACTTCTCGCCTGATATGAGGTAAGGATTTTTTTTTATTATTATTTATCCACTTCTTTATTGGTATACCTACCATATTCATATAGGTAACATAACATAACATAACATCACGCTTTTTATCCCTGAAGGGGTAGGCAGAGGTGCACATTACGGCACTTAATGCCACTGTACAATGTAACACCCACTTTTCACCATTTATTTTAGTCATGAGTCCCATGTAATATTACAAACCCAGTAATACTTTGCCCGACCCGGGAATCGAACCCGAGACCCCTTGTCCGGCAGTTGCACTTGCGACCACTCGTCCCATGAGGCAGGTATAGGTATTGGTCGTTAAGCCCATAATCGGCGTTTTATCCATCTCTATAACTAACTTCTGTATGATGCCTGCTAATACACAGACAAACGACGTACAAAATACGCAGATTATATTAGTATTGCGGGTACCCATGGGCAGGGTCGATTACTTACCATCTGCTAATTTGCCATTTAAATAAATTTTAAATTTACCATTCAAATATTAAAGAAGGGCCAAATTATAAGTACCCTTAATCGACAAGCATGCATGAAAAGATTGATGACTGTTGATGAAGCGAAAGGGGTATGGAGGAATCGTAGTAATTGGCGTTCCATAGTCTCTGCTTACTCCCTTGGGAGACAGGCGTGAAGTTATGTATGTATGTGCAATAATTAGCATTAATTGCCCCCCCCCCCCCCTATCCTATAAAAGCGTGTCGCGGAGAACCTAACGGGTAACCGGGGCTCCGGCTCGACGTGCAGGAGAAGGAACGGGGTGGTTTTTAGTCAGTAAGAGTCTGACACTCCCTCCCGCCTCACCCAGGCGGGAGCAGTCATCCAATGATTTACCCCCCTTAAAAAAAAAATCCTATAAAAGCGTTGCCTATATTATAAGTACTTAAAGAAGGTATGTAGTACCTATATTTCAGTTCATAAATTCAAGGGACTCAATCAATACCCTATGACAAGAATGAATTATCTTCTTCATGGATGTATTGTCTTATGTCTAGAATTCATAAC